GTTAATTACGTTGTCATTCTGCATGATAGTAATGAGACAGTAATTATAGAAACAAATTAATCATGTTCCACATTTGCTAACACTTCCAAACACTTGTGCCTCTACATTTTTATAGCACACTTGACGCAAGCAAAATTTATATTTGTTTAAAAACTGATGGACAATGTTTGATTCGTATAAATCAAAGTTTGTCACGTTGGAAACGGAAACTTTGCGCCAGAAATGCATGCGCTACATTTTTGCAAAAAATGTCTCTCGAAGCATTACTCCATAGACGTCCGCAAGTACCGTCGTTTTCTCGCGCTTTTCACGCGGCGCGACCGCCGTTCGACCGCCTAGAGAATTTTTCTGCCCAACAGCTGGCAACCTGGATATCGATTGTCATTATTTATATCGTACGTTTCCTCTTCAGTCATCGATTCACTTTTTACATTTTACATTTTTACAGTAATGAGAGAGTTAAGTTTTTCCCACGGGCATATGGTATTCTAAGTTCGCCCCCACATGTGTGATCATAGGTGTTGTTGAAGGGGAGTCGAGTGTGTGAAGAGAATGACGGATAGCCAGCAGCAGTTTTGCTTGCGGTGGAATAACTTTCAGGCGAACATCACAAGCCAGTTCGAGGCGCTGCGAGATGACGAGGACTTCGTCGACGTTACCTTCGCGTGCGACGGCAGGCGACTCCAGGCGCACAAGGTCGTCCTTTCCGCGTGCAGCCCTTACTTCAAGGAGTTGTTCAAGGTTAGAAAACCATTTTCTTCCCGCTCCCCACCTTAGACGTATATTCCTCACCGTCCCCCTGCGCCCGCATCCTTCCCCTCTCCCCGCGCCCTCCGGCGGCAGCCGCCCTCCCCCCTCTCGTCTCTCCCCACCCCGCCCCTCGTCCGTCGCCCCTCTCTGCCCCTCCGCGCCGCTCGTTCGTCCTCTTCCCCTGCCGCGATACGCGTGTGTGCCTGTATACACGCATATTACATGCATTTCCCTCGTCTCATCTCTTACGATGAATAATTCCAAAATTACACAATACCTATTTACGTGACGACCTCTTACACGTCTTATCTTTTTCGTCGCGCCTCGGGCCCATTTCAAAGCGAAATGTACTCGTGCGCACGAATTACGTCACGATATGCATGTATTTTTTTTTCGCCCACCGCCAACCCCTCGGACGCCTACGCGGCCTTTCGCGACCGCGCCGAACAAAATCTGTAATTGCTGCCGGGCAATTAACGCGTCGGCCAGGGGGAGTCGATAAATGAACGACAGCTCGTCGCATACGTTTGTTCAATCAATCCCGCTCGCGTTTTGGACGCGAAATTATGCAACAGAAATCCTACTCTGCTGTTTCTCTGCGTGTATCTCTCTTTTTCAAAAGAGATACGATGAAATATGATTAAATGATACACTGCCATTAGATATGAGTCATCATAAGCAGAAAAAGTAATCATATTGGATTTCAAAGATATGCATATTTATGAAGCCGTCGACGAGAGACTGAAATTAAATATATGGAATTTTATCATTAATGTAATATTATTAACGCATTTAAAAATTTTCTGTGGTAAATAGGCGTTATGAGATAAATATAATTAATTTCTTATCAAGTTGAAAATTATATAACAATGCGTATTTTGTATTAAAAAATCAAAATTGACTTAATGACTTGTTTCATAATTTGTTATCGATTTTATAATCCTCTTCCTTTTTTTTAATAAATATTTCATAATACACATATATAAGTCTGTATATGATGAATTAATTACTCGGGATTTATTTTGCAGACAAATCCTTGCAAACATCCGATAATTTTCATGCGGGATGTCGAGTTTGAACATCTACAATCACTATTGGAATTTATGTACGCTGGTGAGGTAAATATCTCGCAGGCCGAATTACCTACATTTTTGCGTACTGCTGAATCTCTTCAAATCCGTGGCCTCACCGACTCCCACAGTAATCAGCACAACAACGAAAAGGTTTGTTGGCATAAGCTTATGGCGAGTACATTACGTTTGTGTTTGCATCATCGCATGCTACAATACGCAACTTTCCAATGATTTACAGCACTTGAAGACAAACAACATCCACGCATCGAATGGTCGCGGTTTGATCTCGCCAACTTTTGACGATGAACGCAGTAAATCTCCACCACCTTCAAGCCCTCCACCACTGAAAAGGCTGTGTAAAAACAATAGTGATTCATCTCCAGTTTCTAGTCCAGTACCCACTGTGCCGCCTTGCGCTACCATTGCACCTCGCTCGCGCCCACTTATCGAGCCTCAAGTTCAGCTCGATTGTTACAAAGATCTCGATATTGTTGAGGTATACTTTTATTACTATATTAGATTCGATTTCTATAATATCCATTTCTAATTTATGTATTCTTCACTTTCAGCCAAAAATAGAATTACCTGAATATGGCAGTGACGACGATTGCTCACCTAAACCGGAAGCTAACGCATTACCCAGTGGATTTCTCAGCTTGGATAGTGGTATGGAAGTGCTACCGTCTTATCCACAGTCTTATCAAGGTAATTATCTGCAAGTGAAAATAAAATAGAAATTAATAATTTATCCTATTATTTTGGTAAGAAATTTTTTGAATACACAGTTTAGTTTTTTCGATTGTTGAACTTATTAAATTGCTAAATATTTATATCGATATTTCTAGGGAGCCAGAGTGTCGAAGGAGGAATGCCAGGTCCATCGCATGGGAGTACGGAATTGAATCAGGAGCAGCAAGGTGAGTCATTTTACTATTTGTTGGTAGTGCGAGCACCATTACAAACAGCAACAACCTAGCCATTACATCACAAATGTCAAATGTGAGTAGAAACAAGGAAGCAGAAAGGAATCTTGATGGTTTGAAATGGTAAGCTCGTGTGTAGCTCGGTAGGTCTTGGTAGGCGGTAGGAGACATTTGACACTCGGAGGCTTTAACAGGCCTGAGTCCACAGAGTGCAGTTTGCAGTTAAGCAGCTGTGTTGTATGAACGTTACCGAAATAGCCCGGAAACTTAATTAACAACTAAGTCCTGCGTGTACATATTCGAAAAAAAAAAAAGAAAAAAACAACCCCATCCCATTATGCTTTATAATCTTTTGTTTTCCCGCTTCACATGTATTAATGCATATTATGTATACACATACATATACATACACTAGATTATCCTGATAAATCGTTTAGTGTGTAAAATATAATTGCTTATTAAAAAGTTAACGCTCAGATGATGGGTATTAGTGAAGTCTGAATAATCGTTTGCTTTCTCGTTTACTAATTTCAAACGTCATATTTACATACATGTGATAAGTTTTCGAATTGGCTTGTACATATTGCTTCGAATTAATATGATATATGAAACGTGGCCATGTCTTTCATGTCGTACGTTGAGAAATTTTGTCATCAAATTAAATAGAATTTGATTATGCTTCGAAATTGTGCTAGACTTTTAAATTCTGTAGCATAGTGTAGCTGTATTTAAAATATTGCTTTAAAATTGTTAAGACAATTTTTGATCAATCTCTTCATTTGGCTATAAAAAAACCAAATCTTACATTATTAGCAAAAATCTCTGTATTGGCTCTTGAAATAATTCATAATAGTGAATCATGCTATCATACATGGAAAAATAAATCACGAATCTGTGTCTACATGTCTAACTTTTTGTCGAGAAGTATTATACTTCGCCACTTAATCCAGAAACGTATTAAAGATGTGCAATAAACATGTAAACAAGATTTTCACTAATTACTGGTTCTCATTACTCATCGATTCATGCTTACCATTGTTTTCAAACTATATGTTTTTTCTTACTGCATTACCATTGTTTTGTCTGCCAAACATATTTGACTCATTGCATCCTTGCAAGTGATGACTCTTGCGGGGGACCTTTTTGTACTGTACCGTGCAGGCAGCAAAAAATTGGGTAGCACTAAATAGGGTTGTTTGCTGGTTGTTGCTGTCCTGTGGTGGGTGGTATCATTCTGATATTATACGTGGTGTGGCAAGGCGTGGTGCTATGCTGTGGTAACGTGCAATGCTGTGGGCTGCTACCGGTTAGAGCAAGTTGTGTGTGTGTTGCAGCTGACCTGCGTAAACTGCACTCGCTGGACCCACGCCCCTGTCCTGTGTGCAACCGCATGTACAGTAACTTGTCCAACCTGCGGCAGCACATGCGCCTCATCCACAACCCTCAGAGTGTCACTTGCCCTCTATGTAACAAGCCATTCAAGACCAAGCTGTACCTGAAGCGTCACCTGGTCAGTTTCCACGAACTCAGTGTGGCAGACAGGCAACGTCAGGAAGAGATCTACCAGCATCAAGTTAAGGTTCAGGTCCAGGGACAGGGACAAACGCAGGTTCAGGGAGCAGCTCAGGCTCAAACACAGACACAAGTTCAGGCTCAAACACAAGCTCAGATTCAAGCTCAGACTCAGGTGGATAATAAGGTGCTTTTAGCAGCACCTGCCCCGCCCGCTCGGAACTCCACCGAGGAGGGTGGGGCCAGTGGTGGTGGAAGCACCGCGGAACCAAAGCTCAGATCGTATCAGGCACAGGCTGGCGACAATGCTTATTCGGTAGAAGTGGCGCAGATTGGTGATTCAAAGCATTTTGCTAGTGGGATGTTGCAATTCGATGCTACGTATCACTAATGTACAGGATTTATTTATTTTTTAATCTATCGCCCAGTATCATTTTGTGATATAGTAACGAATCGAGTTTATCTTTATTGTTTAGTGAACTTGTGATTCAATAGGAAACGTATCTACGTAGTTGACCGACAAGTAGATAGAAATAACGTTACGACACAAGGCTGATTCCGTATTTAATAATCAGGTCCTGCGCGCGTGAGCGCGCGGGGTGTAATTTATAATTTTAAATAGTTTCAATCGTGTATATCGCGATTCTTGTCACGCGTACACACGCGGGGACAGGGAGTCATCCGATTGACGGTCGTGCACTTGGATTGTTTTCGTCCGTAATAAGACGCCTATACAGATCATTCGAATGATCATTCATACGAAGGTCGACAATGTATATAGGTTTGGGAGACTAGTTTACATATAAAGTCCCGTGCCTATTCATCGTAAAGATGAACGCTGATGAGGGAGAGAACGACTAAACAAAAAAAAAAGCCGATGGTGGAGCAGCCATCCCACCTCGTACTGATAATTCTGCAGCCGGATACTTGTTGTTTTATTTAATGCTATACAGTGTTATACAGACTACAGATATTTACAACAATATTATATTCTTACAGAGGATTATATTTACTTTATTATTGCAACGCAATGTGCAATGACATAGCTCATACATGATATATTTTTCACATGCATACATTGCAATATACAGCCAATTGACAGCTCAACAGAGTAATAATATTTATTATTAACAGTTATCAACAGACCGTGATCGCAATAATGCAGCAGATTGAATTTAACAATATATAATAAGAAGGCAATGTCTCTGCTGGTTTCTTGCGTGCAAGCATACTCGTAGGAAAGTTTGTTTTTCAAGTATTTTGCCTCAGTTGTACGTTGTGTTTACGAAAACAGCGTAAAGATATTTATTTCACTATTTTTGTCGAGGAATTCTTGTCGTGGAGTTCAGTTTTAGATACAACATTCACGTTTAGGTATTTTCAAACTATTTTACAGTTTATTCAATTTCAAATTTGTCAATTTTTTTTCGGAGAGAAGTTTTTAAAAATTAATATTAATAAGCATCGATATGTTAAAAGACATAGTAGTGTTTCGTACAGACACAAAGTTTATATATATATATAGTAGCAACTTTGCAAAAGAAACGCTATAGTATCTTTTACAGGACATATAAAGCTTTTCTGGCAATGATTATGCGTTTTTTCTTAATAAGATATTTTTGTAAAATTAGCATTTTTGACGTTACAAATTTTAATACAACAATTATAATATTATAATTATATATAATACAATTTGTAATATTATAATAGTGTTACTTTCGGTTGTCTGATGAGATAAAACTCTTGGATTGATTATCCACATCGCTTAATTCGCTTGTATCATTTTTGACGGGACGTCTCTGCTTTTAAGCTTCTATAAAAGTAAGCCAGCATAGATATCTGCCATACAATTCCATAGCCATAGTACCACACAGTACAACTCAGGATCTTTTATATTATATTTTACAGATGACAATAGTTCCATAAGTACGATTTATATGATGGCGATTCTAGGAAATGGGGCACAGAGTATGTTCCCTAGAATCGTAACTTTTTAAGTCGTACCATTCATATGACAGGCTCCTTACCTCACATACAATCAAATTACTAAACAGATGCAGCTATATATTATAATATATTTACATACAACAATTTACAATAGTACTGGGAAGTTGCAACGACTGCAACCAAACACAGATTGCCGATATTATACAAACGGTTTTTATTATCTGTTATTACATTGGTAAGTGATTGCAATGTTTTTTTACAAGTTAAATGTACTACGAATGTACATTCGAAACTTTTGTTTACGATATGAATGGATGCCCAGCACAACTGACAATTAGTACCGAAATAAGATTAGATTATAAATGTTGCATATCATATTATAATATTGTTATACATTTGCCAAGCGGTGTTACATTCATCAACTCTCAGGCTTCGGATCATACACAGATTTCATTCAGCTTCCCACCAGGTGCAGATTAATATCTCAGAATAATAATGCACTTTTATCGTTACATCACTTATCGCAATGCCACGTGTTTAATCGGTTGAAAATTCAATTCGCAAGTGCTATACAATACAGTGTCTTGTAGAACAGGAAATGTGGATATTTTTCCTGCATTACTTAACAGAATATCACGTTCATTGTTCTACTTAGCTTGTTTTTCTTTTCTCCGTCAGACTTACATATAATATTCTTTGTAAGAGTTGTCACCTTTTTAACGTCTGCTTTTAGTATTTTTCGTAACTGCTCGATCCTTTGCCTGAGATCCATATACTGTGTATATCAGAGTGATGTGTTACAGAATGTCACATAATAGTAAGCATCATTTGACAGGCCGGACTTCGCTGGGCATTAAAAACCGGTTACCTAGCTAATATCACAATACAATTCCGAACACTCACTGTTATAATTGCGATTATATTTACGAATTCAAATGGTGTGTGCGTACATTCCGCAATCCGCAGCACGGAGACAGCAGGGGGCAAAAAAACAAAAACAGAAAAAAAAAATAAAACAGAAATAAAACGACGGTTTTATTCATCGGACGAGCACACTTGCAGCTAATAGATGAAAACTCGCAATGAATTCCGCATAGTATTTTTGGGTCTAACACAATACAATTTTACCGTATATTAAATGAAAAGGTATATTAACGACACGCATCGCGTGTCGCAAGAGGTATATCTTTGTGATGAAATACGAACAGTACTTGCCATTTTTCCAAAAGAACTCGATGAGTAGGTACAGAAAGCTCACAGGAAAAGTAATCTTTTGTCTGCGATAATAAGTTTTAACTTTATCCTACTGCGATTTAGCATTTGTATCATGCGTTGTTACGATTATTATTGCTATTACGATAACTACTACCGCTATTATTACCACTATCAATACTACTACTACTACTACCTACTACTACTTACTATTACTACTACTATTACTACTCTCCTACTACAATTACTATTATTACCGTCGTTAATTTCATATGCATTTAGACGCATGTATGCGTCTGTTGTCTCGTGGATGCTTTATGTTC